CACTGAACCAGACCCCAGAAAGTGAGGAGCAATACAGCCCTTGCGTACGGAGTTGAAGTTTAGGCTTGAATCTTTGGCTGTCAATTAGTCTCAGAATTTAAGTTCGATTTTGGAATAGCATCAGTGGGATTTATAAGTGTCAGTTACGGGGCGTGAGCCATACCAAGTTCGAGGCGTGAGCCATTGTGTGTGTTTTGAGGCGTGAGCCATAGCTACGGGGCGCGAGCCAAGCAAGTTTGAGGCGCAAGCCAAGTCAGTGGAATAAGGCGTGAGCCAAACAACCGGGTCTAAACAGCCCACCGGATTAATAGTTCACCAAAAACAAACCAGTCTAGAGCCGTTATATCTGCATAGTGGGAAACTTAAATCCACGTTGGGAACCAACCAATAAATTCAGGTTGTGTCTTGAATGCCACTTCAAGAAACTAGTTGAGATTTAGCCACCCTTGGGGGAACGGGAATTGAATACTTTCGTGACAAATACGTTTACTCGTGGTTTCCTTGGACCTATACTTGTGTCCAAAAAGACCCGAATCTTGTCAGTGCATCAAGGTCATTAAGGGAGTGTGTTGGTGTTGGAGTCTGTCTATTGTCGGTTTAGTTGTGCTTAATCTCGCTTTGTGAGTTAGGCGTAACTCAGTCGTTTGATAGGGGAATTTTGACGGTTGCATATTTAGACCGTTGAACCTGAGCAACCCTTTCAGCGCATGTGTTTGCAACCGGCTAACGTTCTAGCCACAAGGCGTGAGTTTCTGTTTTTGCGAATGTCGGGGAAGTAATCTTCAAGCTGGTTACAAATTCCGGAGAGGTACGAGTCCACGGAGTCAGGTTTTATGTGGTGACACATGTACACGGTGAAGAAACTCAAGGTTTCAGATGTTGGTTCAATGGGCAAGTCATGCATTCTGCGAAAAGTGATGTATGAATTCGTGGCCGAGGTGTAGGTAGATGCAGTAGAAGGATCAATGGAGAAAACGATTGCAATTGACCGCTCGTGTTTCAAGCAGTCGAGGGTCCACGGCTCCCTGACAGGCTGCTGGGACCTAGCGGACACTTGCATCATTTTGTCTCTGCCCCCAGCGTGTCTCGAGGGGGTGTGAAGGGAATATGTGGTTTCGTTTCGACAATGTTCAATCTATTTTTATCGTTTTGACATGTTCAAACTATTTATTTTTGCAGGTGGTGAAATTTCTTTTTTTCTGATGTCAAGATAACGTACAGAGTCGGGGGGTGCGGGCAATGACCAAAGGGTCTTGGCATCGACTGCAGAGGCCTGTTTTACCACATTGAATGCCATGCAAACATGAATTCAACACGGAAACAATGTATGGTCTTGTTATGCAACAGTGGGTGTCGGCTATCTCTTCTGCCTCCGTGTCGTCGTTGTATCTTGACACTTGCTGCCCCAATGGCCATTTTGAAGACGTTGAAGAATGCGATGGTGAGCGCCTTTTCCGTATGCGACTCCTACATCCAATATCTCTTAACTAACTCTCACCCACCCAAAGGGTGCACAATTATCGTGGAATGATCTTGGAAATGTCTGGCCATCCGACTAGTAGAACCATGGTGTAAATCTCAGCCCTGTGCACACAGCCTGTGTGGTGCACCCACCATGTGCTCGACTCCTGTGCCCGCACACTTGCTTGTCAATGGGTTGCGGTACACATCTCCTTATGCAGGCAGGTGCATCTGACTTTTTGTCTTTGTTTTGTTTTGACTTTATTGTTGACTGCTGGTCTCTAGCAGCTCTCCCGCTTGCAAACACGGCCGGTGCGCTGCATCCCCCTGCGTGCAACGCCTACGCAGTGAAGAGTGCACGCTACTAGGTCATCTTCGAGACCCTCATCACGCTTCGCCCGCTTTGATTTTGGTGCTCATCGCAGTGCTCTCCCCCTGGGTTGCTGCCTCTCATCTGCTGCCTCCCTCGGGCTCGCAGACTGCCTCATGCAGCGCACAGCGAGCACCATGTCCCCACCACATCGACTGGGATGTTGTAGATGACGTACAATGAGTCATAGTCTACAGAGATATAAGTGAAGTAATGAGAATAAGGAGAATGAACGTACCCGTGTAGTAGACGTACCAATAATGCAATGCACCCTGTGGTTACTGGGGGGGCCATTGCATTATTGCCAGTCCATGACAGCCAGTGAGGTGGTCAACAATGCATTGCCCCGGTGTTATTGGGGACATTCTAGATTCCCAATATCCAGCCAATTAATCGATTAAATTCCGTCCTTCCCAGCATTTTAGTAATATTTCAGTACCCTTATGGAGCAACAAAATCTTTTCCATGATCCCATCACTCTGTGCTCAAAACGGCCAATCTATGACCTCATCGGCTATGCACAGCCCATCAAAAAATTCGCTCTGGGCCCTCACTCTTTGATGCTCCAAATGTTGCACCTGTTTGCTTGCCAGGCTCACATCAACATTGCAGCTGTTTGATTTCAAGCCTTTCCCACGGTCTAGACGTTCTATTTTGGGATCCTCTATTCCACGTGCTTGCTTGCAATCAATAATTGCACCTGTTTGATTTCCAAGCTGTCCTGAACCCAAATAATGGACATCAAAATGCATCATCATATGATCAGGGCCTTGCCCGGGTCACTCCGTGATGATTCCTTATTTTCCCGGGATGTTGGCCCATCAAATTAATTAGGCCTAGGCCTCACTGCCCGGGTCACTCTGTCATTATTCCTGATTTCCCCGGAATATTAGCCCATCAAATAATGCAGGTCTGGAACTCACTCACAGCACCGGCCCCTCAATTAAGTAGGTATTTTAGTTAGCTCCGCTTCTTTAAGTATGGTAAAACAAATAAGGTCGGCCCGATACTTTATTGATCATATCAGATTTAACTGAGGGAGAAACTGTGCCGAGGTTTCTCCCATTGGTCCGGGAAATGCCGAGCCAATGGGAGAAACCTCGGAACGATTTCTATGTGCGCTAAATCAGATGCGATCAATTAAGTTTTGGGCTGAATTATTTGTTTTACCATACTTAAAGAAGCGGAGCTAACTAAAATGCCTACTTAATGGAGGGGCCGGTGCTGTGACTGCCCGGGTCACTCCGTAATTATTCCTTATTTCCCCAGGCTTGGCATCAAATAATTCAGGCCTAGACCTCACTGCCCGCTTCCTCCCGGCATTTCCCAGGGACATTCCTCATGGGACTCAATTGATGATTTTCCAAAATGTTCTGCTTCCCTCCTGGTTGGTTCTTCCTGCCACATGCATATGATTCCTCCAGGCTTATACATCAGACTTTTGACATTTCCATTGTGGGGTTGTACAACACCCACACAACGCCAAAAACGTGGCAACGGCCTGCCAAATCACGACAACATGACAACGCCAACAATTTTTAGCGAAATTCTCACAACACCAAAACAAGATCAGCAGATAACGTCAGAACAGCTAATAATTCCGCGGACCTTTTGAAAGGACGCCGGCAATGCGTCCTCACTGATTCAGACAGAAAGACAGGAACAGTGATCTAGATTGTCGTAGTGTAAGTGAAAGACAACATAAACAAGTACATCTGATGGAAACATTTAAATACTGGGATCATCCATCAAAGATGGTTAGTAATAATTGGACCGGGTTTCATCAATCACTGTAAGTAAGTCCCAGACTTACACCTTTGGACCTCCACAGGACCACCCAGCAGCTCCCCGCCCTCTATGCCCAATTTTGGCACTAAATACCATTCACAATTCGCCTGGGGACACCTTTTCACTTTGGTGTACAACACGAAAAAGCAAAACAACACGTGAAACGCCACAATCGAAATGTCAAATGGCTGATGTATATAATATATACCTTCTTTACATCTTCATTTACCACCCTTCAAAAGTTCAAACATATCCTGCCCTCGTGCCCTCAAATCAACATACACTGCTTTGCTATCACAGGAGTATTTACCAGGAGTTACTCTGGAGACATATAGCTCCCAAGTTCAAGGTTCTTACATGTCTACAATGGTGCAGTTGTTAGTATGCCCCCATCTGTATTTCCTTCTTTTATGTGCTTGTGTTCGAACCCTTATCTGTGTGTTTTTGTGTTGCACCGTGCTCAGAGATATTGGTACATTTTTTTCAAAAAAAAAGAGACTTCTACACTAAGTTATGGCCCCAAGTTTCACTTCAGGTAGCTGAGAATTTCAAATTGGCACTCTGGTTTCCTCGTATGTGGGAAAACAGCATCTCGTATATATATATATATATCCTGAGAACTTTGATGCACAACATATTTCCTCTATGTCTACTTGAGCTTCACAAGCTTGGTCCAACACTACTTCTCTTTGCAACGCTGCATCTTTGCCTGGGTATTTTTGTTTGAGTTCAGTTTGGGTGTCATGAATCAAAGACAAAACACGGTGAGGTTTGCCAAGTAAATATGGACAACCATGATTCCATTGGACGAGTTAGTGATGCTTTTTTGTGTGTTAGTGATGGTTTCTTTCAATGATAAATTATTTCCCATTTGGTCATAGTAGAGTTAACATAGAAAGTCAGTGGCATAGCCTTGCTAGACTCCCCGGTACCCTCAAAAAATGATTCAGCCTGTCAGAATGAACAGGACAGCGAGGCTAGCCAGCGAGTTAGTGATCATCGGACCCATCGGCCGATGATCGGCCTAACATGACTTCACCCATATTATATTCATTTAAGTGTTTATTTCAAGCAATTGCTGGTGGAAGAAGGATTGTTGACCCTGGAGGAAAACAGACTACTAGTTTGAGGTCCCAGAAAACCAGTGGGCAAGGTCAGAAATTGTTTTCTGTCCATAGGACACATTCTGTGGAAAAATGAAAAATATGTGCATGTAAATCAACATGCACATATTTTTCATAGAATGTGCAGGGACCGAGCAGATGATCCAAGGCCAGATCTTTCAAGGCGAAACAAAGGCACAACGTATGTACAGTGTCATAGTTCCAGGGTCGAATCCTTTCACTGCACGTTGTGGGCTTAGATGGGGGAAGAAAAGGAATGATGGCTCCGGGAGTCGAACCCAAAGCCTTCCCATTCATGGTAGAGGTAGACACTAACCAACTGAGCTAAGCAACTGTTTTCTGTAACACAATTAGGGTCAGTCATGGTAACCAAGGCTTCTGTAACAAGAAGTGAAGCACAACCGCTCACAACATTGACCAACAAGCAAGCGAGACATGAGACAAAGGGACCTGGCATTGGGAAATGATTGAAACATGCAATGAGGATAGGCCGACAGTGGCTAAATGTAGTGAAAGAAAAGACCGGTGAAACACTGACTACCTGAACTGATGTGAAATGTAGTAAAATGTCTATCAATGCCTGAGCACTAACAAACACTAAACCAACACTAAGCACTAATCCAAACAATCGAGTGGTGCGAGTACGGGGTTCCAACCAAGTATTAGGTTGATATTTGAACTAGATCTGGTAATAGCTATTTACACGTAAATACTGAGAACACTCCAATAGCCGATCCAGAGACTCTAATGAGGTCTAGACGAAGCAGAGAGTGGTTTTATATCGAATAGGGTGGTGTGGGGTAGTGCTTGGTCGTCAATAGACTCAAGACTTGTGCTCCTTGAATGTTCTCAGCTATAAATCTGTGTTCTGTGTACCAATCCGTGTGCTTTTCCTAAATCCTTATGAAACCCAATATGACCCGATACGACCCGATACGATTCTGTTTCCTTAAGATTCTTTATGCGCACATAGATCCAACAACCAACAAATATATTTGACCAAGAATAACAGAAAGAACTAACAAGTTCCCAATGGTACTCCTAATGAATCCAAGGCTTCCCAAGCGACAATACCAGCTGAGCTGAGTACGTCTAGCAAGAAGGGGTGAATTCACTGGCTTTCCACTAGAAACCTGCCAGTATTTATACAGGAATTATACATCACATGATAAAATAAATAAATACTACAACGGATAAACGGACCTGGCTATTTAAAGGTACATGCATCAAAGACCCGGATAAACGGTTAAATAAGTGCTCTATCCCGAGAGCTGTGCGTCTATCTTTCTGTTTTAAGGTGTTGCCATCATATCTTGATGGACTTGTTATCTTTAGACGTGCCAAGTATAGCGTGTCCGGATAAATTGTAGTAGAGATTGTCCGGGCCAACCAGCTTAGCCTTATAGATAGACTGGCTGTCCTGCATCTCTACCTGATGACACCTTTGTCACCCAACTATCCCCATGGTGCCCTAATTCAACCGAATGGTTGGACTTTGATTTACATGTAAATACAATCTTTGATGATTTACGCGTAAATACACAGCAGGTATTGATTCTGATAGTGTTACTGAATGTCCCTGAACGATTTCTGAGCTCTCCAGGGCATCCAGGTTCGTGTGATTAAAGTTACAGTGACTTAATTTGTCACAAATGTCGAACTTGTGCTTGCAACTGCACCAACAACTCTGCCGATTTGATTTGACCTGCAATCTGGATCCCTTATGAATTCACAGTCTAGATGGATGGTATGTGTTATGTCCTTGATATATGACACTTTCCAAATGTCCCAATTCGATCGAATGGTTGAACATGGAATTACGTGAAATTCTATTGTAGCCCACCTGGCCGTTGACCCTCGTGGTATCGGTGACCAGGCAAGTCTATACAATGTAATCTCTTGTGAAGTGCCTTTAGCCAACAGTCCGGACCTCACTATGGCTCTCATCATGGGCCAAGTAATAAGCATTGTTCTACTTCAGTAAGTAGAACAAGAACATTGAAATTGATAGATTTCAAGTCTGGTCATTTTCCATGCTTATCACCGGCCTAACATTGTGTCATTAATAATGATGATTCAATATTATAGGAACAATTAAGGAATGATGTTTTTGCCTTACATAACCTGAGGGATCAATGAGCACTTTCCACCCCTGAATTTCACCCTGAAGAACAATTGTTATTGGTCCCTTTGCTAACCTGTATAGTCACACCCAGGATGGGAACCTTCTAAGGTCGCTTAAAAGACCTATGAAAAGAATGTGTATTCGTAGTCTAATATATCTTGATTGATTTAACGAGATTCAATGAAGTAAGAAAGGATGACAGACACAACTAGAATTCATAGGCCTTTTCGACTTGATTGATTTCTATCTTATTCACCATGTAAGAAAGGTGTCTGAAAAGAACATCAATCAGGTGCCAAATCAACCATATTTGATTTTTGGGGTATCGACGGTACATAAAAGCACATTGTAAAGTACATGTTTTAGGCCAATGAGGGATTTTTGCTATTTGTCCGGCATTTTCCGATCCAATGGCAAAAATCCCTCATTGGCTTAAAACATGTACTTTACAATATGCTTTTGTGTACCGTCGATACCCCAAAAATCAAATATGGTTGATTTGGCACCTGATTGATGTTCTTTTCAGACACCTTTCTTACATGGTGAATAAGATAGAAATCAATCAAGTCGAAAAGGCCTATGAATTCTAGTTGTGTCTGTAATCCTTTCTTACTTCATTGAATCTTGCTAAATCAATCAAGATATATTAGACTATGAATACACATTCTTTCCATAGGTCTTTTAAGCGACCTTGAAAGGTTCTCATCCTGGGTGTGAGTATGTTCCATTTATTAGCAGTGCATATTAAGGAGGTCTTGAGTTCAATCCTCCTTCTGGGTAGTTTTTTGAAGCCCAGAACTTTGATTACTCCTGTTTACACAACCTTCTCTGATGCCCGAGACCGTGGGATTTTTTGTCGCATTTTACGGCATCTCGGCGGCAATGAACATGATTAGATTATAGATAAGGTTGATTAGATGTGGAAGATAAGCCCAATATGGGTGACACATGTGATGGGCGATGATGGAGGGGCACTGTGCCGAGGTGCCGAGTGATGGCACCGTGATATTTCCTAAAAGAGGAAGTCCGAGATGCCCAAGTCTCTTTTTCTGAAAATTAAGTAAGCATAAATCACGTTTTCAGCACTTAATTGTCTGATGGCTAATTACGCCGAGGCAATGCATTGCTCAGCCAAATGACTGGCTGTCAGACTCGGCCAATAATGCAATGGCCCCCCACTCATGACTGCAACATTGCATTATTGACACTGCCATTGGTGTGTACCCTCAGTGGGCACAAGATAGTGTAAGACTGAGGGTCGTTGAGGGGCTCCGCACCCTTATATACGATCGGGATAAGTAAATAAATAAAAAGAAACTACCGCTGCACGCCACATAAGGAGATTCCTCCTCAACACTCCCCCTGGCGAGCAGCTTCCTTGCGCTTCCAATCAAGGCCGAGCTGGACAATGCACTTGTCATTACCGATACGCGGGAGTGCTTTTGTGAAGATGTCTGCAACATTCTCTTTGCCGGTGATAAGCCGTGAAATCAAGTACACATGAATTTTGCGATTTTGCACGATTCAGCGTGTCAACACGCACTGAGGGACCATCAGGGCACTCTGACTGAGTGGTCCAGTCTATTAGCACAAGCTACGAGGTTAACGAGGACTTCTACCAGTACCTTCACAAATGGGGCCACCAGATATCTTAGTTAACTAAGGAAACTTGACGATGGTGGCAGAGAAACTAGGACATACAAGGCCTAAGGCTGCTTGCTAGGACACAAACAGCATACCAAAGAGGTTGCGAGGTCAATATACCAAGTGCTGGCAGGCAACAGTGGGAGGAACCCAATTATTCACGATAAGACTATTTAGACCTGTTTTACCCAAAACTGAGGACGCGTTTGATCACGCATTGGGTCCAGACCGAGTCTGGGGATGACTTGAACAGTAGGACGAGATCCAGCCGTTTAGCCGCGAGGAGAAACCAGAGACAGAGAGAGAGATTGTGATTTTGTGGTTGAACCACCAAACCAAACCAGGGGCTATGGGGTATCATTGGAAAGGTAGAAGAGAGGTGCATGAGCTTCAAGACTAATCAGGCCCGGGACTAGAGGCTACAGACGAAGAAGACACTTTCTATCCACTTAATCAGCAATCACATGTGTCGTGTCAAACACCACATGTCTACCATATGTCTCAACAAGACACGACCAATCAGGAGTCAGGGATTAGGATTCGGGTGCCGCGAACCCACGGACATTGTACAGTAATCATCGTGATGTAAACCATAGGGCAGTAGTATAAAAGGGCAGCAGAAGAAGAGGGCCAGCTAGCACATCTAGGGGCGCTGTACACGTTGTGTCAGCCACTGGAACCGTCGCTCTGATAGCCGTGGAGGTTAGATTGCTTTGAACAAATCGTATACCAGACTCAGAATCAGAACACGGCAATTGATAGAACACGGCAATAGTCAGAACATGGCAAACAGACCCAGAACATTGAACAGAACACTGAAACCGTCGAAAGACACAAAAAGCGCAGACTTAACGGTCTTAAAACCTACCCTATACTGTCTCCTTGACGTCCTAGACGTTACTTGTCCAATACAACTTGACTTGACCAGTCAGACCTTGCAAAAGCACGAGCGACCCTTAGTTAACTAAGTGATCGACCGAGAAACCAGCTGCTATCAAGTCTAATACTTGACTTACACCCCCGAACTTGCACTCTGACTCTCTCTATTGAGGGGTTAGTTGTTGATAGTGTTGTGTGTTGTGTGTGGTTTAGAGTTCATAGCTCTGCTGCATTAGCATTTCGCATTTCGCATTCACACATACCTGAGAGTTAGCGTTTTCACCGGGTACCGAAGAGACTGTGATCTCACCATCCTTGACATGTTCCTGGATGAAGTGCCAGTGAATCTCGATATGCTTCGCTAGGCCATGCCCTTTCATCATCTCGGTCAAGCTGAGGGAGCCGAGGTTGTCCCCATGAAGCTGGAACAGAAGCTCCTGCAGCAAGAACACCTCCGACAACCAGTTCTTCATCCACATGGCTTGCTGTGCTCTGCGTGCCAGTGAAATGTACTCAGCCTCTGTCGACAACAGCGCAACGACATCCTGTCACTTTGCTGACCACGGGACTGGTGCACCGCCCATGAAGAAGAAGACATAGCCAGAAGTCAACCGGCACGTGTCCACGCACCCAGCCCAATCCGAGTCGACGTACCCGGCTGGTTTCAAGCCGCGTCCAAGTGTCAA